CATTTAAAGATCCAAATATGAATTCAGAAACAGAAATTAAGAATAAAGGGATATTTTCAATAAAAGTAGAACCATTTGCAATATATGACGATTATCCAAACTCTTCATTAATTGAAACAGCTGCATTTTATGGTGCTAGTAAATGTTTTCGATTTCTTCTTTTAAACAAAAAAGAATACAATGAAAAATCCAATGATACCATAAATAATATGTTAAATAATGATACAAATAACTTTCCTCAAATTTCATTCAATAAAATTGGGTTGGCTGTTTCCAACAATGAATATGAATCAAATCAGATAATGAATTGTGCGGTGGCAGGTAGTAACCCAGAAATTATTAGAATTTGTGAATCTAAAGGATTTTCATTTAATAAAACCATGGAAACAGCAATTTTCTTTCATCAAAACGAAATAGCGAAATGGTTGTATGAAGTGAAAAATATGAAATATGATATAAATTCATTGATTGCATGCATGTATTCATCTAATTATGAAATGTTTTTGGAAATAAACCAACAAAACAATCAACATAATCTTTTTTCTATAAATGATAAAGGTGATCATGGTGTTCAATCTTTTTTTTATTCAGTACCACTTGATATTGCAGCATTTGAAGGATATATGAAGTTTGTAAAAATTTTTTGTAATTTCCCTAAAATTAATCTTCTTGAAATTAATGATTACGTTTGTGAATTCTTCTTTTGGAAAATCACCAATAGACTCTGCAACTAAAATGCATCATAACGATATTGTTCAATTTCTTTTGGACCATCCCAAATTTAAAAGAAATGAAGATTGTTTTAGTAATAACTCATATTTACATAATACCATCTATATAGCGTGCCAGTTTGAAAACAATGTTGTTAAAGAGATACTGAGGAAACTAGGCGTGTCAATTGCTGAAGAGAGCAGTGAATGTTTAGATTAGAATCGTAAGTACATACATATCGAGTTTATCCAGAGTAAACATTTTTTATTTATATTTGTTTTTTTCTCCATTCTGGTAAAATGATTCTTGGTATTTACTATTCTTGATTTCTCAATATCAGCATTATTAATCATTATTATTTATTGTATAATCATTTCATGTTATTTTCTTGATTTTGCATAAAAATGACACTTTTTTTTCAAAACCAATTAATTGCTTTTTTACGACCAAAAAATCACAAAATAAAATTGATCTTTTTTGATTTGTAACTAAGCCAGAGAAATCAATCCAATGATTTTATTAAATGTTCTAATTTCTCCAAAACAGGGTAACAACACAATGAAATGCTTTACCAAAAAACAATTGATTAACTCAATCCAATCACTAATGTGATTCAGATGATTCTGTATCTTATTTCTTGAAAAAAGGAGCACAATTTTAATTGACAAGAAAGATATTTTCATCAAAATTATCTCCACTTTTTGAAAATATTCAACGACAAAAATAGACCATATAAATAATGAAAAAGTTCGTGACAAATTTTCTAATGATTTCCTATAGAAAAATTGAATAGCTCCTTTAAAACTTTTTGAACGAATTGTAAACGTATTAATGCGAAAAAAAGGGCTTGTTTTGGAGGATTTGCGGAAAACAAATGGGAATCTTTCAACCGAGCATGCAGAATACGTACGATATGGGAAAGTTCTCAAGCAAGAAATTGAGGATTTGATCATTGCCAATGAAAAATTATTATCTTGCTTGAAAGACCGATACAGATCATATATGAAGCTTACAAACGATATAAACGATTTTGACGAATCAATTGGTACCAAATTAGACGAGCTACAGCAAAAAGCTGCAATAAAAGGAAAAATTTCAAAACTTGCAAATTCGCCCGACAAAAAAGCGACGATATCACCAGCCTTAGAAAAATCCGAATCGCGCCTGAAAAAAATCAAAAACGAGTTATTTCAATCATCAAATGATCCTATCTCAGAATTGGTGATGCTGACCAATCAAAAAAATTATCTGGAAACTCAAAATTCGATTTTACAGAAAGAAGTTGCGGATTTACAGGCGAAGTTTGACAAAATGGTTGAAAATGATGAAATGCCAGAAAAATTTATTGAAGATATTGAATTAATTAAATCAATGTCTGCTTCTATTCATGAAACTAAAAAAGAAAAAAATCTGTTAGAACTAACCCTCACAAAAACTGAGTGTTTTCCTTCAACTGAACAATTTTTGTCACCAACAGCTGGACAAACAGCAAGTACGGGAGTATTAAAAACACCTGGAAAACCTGAATCATCAATAGATCATAAGAAAAAACAAATGCTTGTCAATACTGAAGATTTGACAGCTTGTCCACCTGTTAAACCAATAATAACTCAAAAACCAAGGAAGTTTTCTTTTAATCTCCCATTAAATGAAATTAAGAATCAACAAACTGTTAATTCTGATAATCCTATCAATAAAAACAATCCAAATTCAAATGTATCAAATAGTAAAAATACTCCAGCCTTTAAAAAATTAAAAGAAAATATCACACCAAAGGGTTCTTTAATGTTTTCTCAAAAGAGACGATTTTCAACAAGTGTTACAAGTAAAAACCGCTTTTCTCAATCACCAAGAAATAATAATCCGTTTCTAACAGATCATGATATTGCAACATATCATGAAAACCAAGTACCAAGAGATGCCATTTTTAAAAAGAATGTCAAGAATCGACAAAAATCATTGAATCCACATCATTCTCATCATAATGATGGATCTACTTCTCAAACATCAAACAATATTGCAAATGAGCAACCTTATCATCAGGTAAGACAGGCTAGGTCACAACTAATGATAGAAAAACAATCAATTCCAGAAGTTAATTTTGATGAATTAGAAAATAGTCTTGCCAAAACAAGTCGTGAAGATAAATCACGTAGGCACAAACATAGACATAAGCATTATCGTAAACATAAACATTATTACCATAGTTCTAGAGTAGATGCTGATAAACCAAGAAATATTGATGAAAATGGAAAACATCATCCAGTTAGATCAAGGCATAGCAGAGTTGAAAGAGAGACAAATAACGACACACCTCATGAAAAATCACACAGAAAGCATCATACAAAAACTGAATCCATCCCTGAAAAAAGACGAAGAAGATCTACTTTTGATTCATCGAGTGAAATATCTGGCACAACTGTATTGAAGCTTCTTGAAATGTCACTCAATTCAGATGCATCCATTTCAGATGCAGAGTTATGTGATTCTGAATTTTTGGAAAAAAGAAAGCAACAAAAGAAAAATGAGGAAGAAAAATTAAAGCAATTATTTAGTACAATTGAAGTAGAAGAGGAGAAAGAAATTAATGAAGAGGGAAATACAAGTAAAAGGACAGATGATTCAAGAGATGAAGGTATGAAAGAAGATGAAAAACTCTCACGTGAAAATAAAAGCAAAGTTGAAGAAGAAGAAAAAAATGAAAAAAGAAATTCATCATCATCATCATCTTCTTCTTCTTCATCTTCAGCTGAACAAGAATTCTCAAATGCAATTAATACGATTCCTTTAGTTACACATTCTGGTGTCGAGCCATTCCATGACAATAATTCTAATTCTTACGATTATAATTATTATGAGTATGAGTATAGTGATGAGGAGGAAGAAGAGGAAGAAGAAGTTGAAGTTGAAGAAGAGGAGATTGATGATGGTTACGCTTTATATGTGCAAAGATATGTACAAACAAATGAAAATATCAGATCATTAAAGGCGTCCGCATTAACAGATGAACTAAGAAGAATTCAAAACTATCAAGTCATTACAAACCAAATTGCCCAGAAAGAAGATGAAGTGGCAGCTATTGATTCAGATATTTTAGAATTAACGAAGAGTCGAGATGTTGTGAAAATGCGAGTAAATTCTACGATGCGAAGATTAAACCGAACAAAAAAGATGCCAACAATTAGTGTTGCTCCTAGATTACAGAAAACATTTGTTGATGTTGAAATTGGATGTAAAACTGGAAATACAATTGAAGCTTTACGTCAAAGAATTGATGATAATGCTGCAAAAACATCACAAAAGTTTATTTATATGCAAGAAAAAAGAGACCTTGAACAAACTATTATTCAATTAAAGCTTGAATCTGATGTAATTAAAATCGAAAACGGTCATAAAATGAATAAATATGATGAATTGATGTCAAAATTAAAAATAATCGATCCTTATATGTATAATATCGAAGCTAGAATTGAACAGCCTTGTGAAAATGTTCCTCCTGAATTACTTAATGCAAAAAAGAAAAGATTAGTTAGCTTAAAGCGCATTCAAAAGCGACTTGACACTTTAAATACAAATTATAAAGAAACCGAAAAATCAATCGCAGATACAAAATATTGTATTAAATGCCTAAAAAGACAATTATATAATATGACAAAAGAACCTAAACTAAAAGTTGATTCAATGTGTTATAAACTCAAACCAGATAAAGCCATAATTGAAGAAATAATACGGAAAACAAAATTTAAAAATGTTGAAAAAGATTTTATTTCAAGTACTGTCAATAAAATGAACGGTATGTATGGGAAAGAAGCTTTAGAAATTTTCCAAAATCATATTACTCAACTTGAATCCGATCTTGGACATATGAAGTATAAATACAACTCACATCGCGGATTGAAGGGTGTCCGAACAATAACACTCACAAATCGATCAGAAATGTCTTACTTCCAGTCAAGAATCACTGAAAGAATAAATGAAATTGATACTTGTAAAATGAGGCTTAATGGACTTGTAGCAAAAATTGAGAAGCAAATGAGAATCATCAAAGGGGCTAGAATAGAATTACCTGAACCTCCAGAAGCATGGAATACAGCAAAAGAAACTGTAAAGAAGACTTTACACAAAAAGCATATTAGGAATTTTGTTACTTAAAATATAGATTATATTATGAATTACTTTCCAATTTTTATGAATTTTAATCTATTAAAATGGCCAATAATGAATCTGAGGGATAAAGTAATTCTTAGATATGATTCTTATCACACAACGACTTTTTGAATAGCCAGTTGGTCCCAGTAGTATAATGGTTAGAATAGATCCTTGACACGGATCAGACAGCGGTTCGATTCCGCTCTGGGACATTTTTTTTTTTTTCAATTTGTTAGGTCTGATTCATGATTTCACTCTTGTGTTTCATTCCAATTTAATCTTCATCATATTTTGCTTTTTTTGTCATTCCATTTCTATAACCAAACAAAATCATGAAAAAATTTTTCAATATCACTTTTTTTCTTTTCGTCTGTCATTTTTCGAGTAATTAGCCTTTGTGTTTTTCCAATGAAATGTTGTGATGATCACAATGTGATATCTTCTTTATCTAGATTGGATGTCAATTTTTTTGACTTCTCTTTTCAACATGACTTAGAATTCACCATATCCGAATCTCTCCTGGCCAAATCCAGTTTTCGACATGATGCATCATTAATGAAATTTCAGAACATAAATAGTCAGACATTTTCAACTCTCAATAAATTTCAATGAAATTAAATTTTCCTGACATTCAAATAGTTCATCATTTTTCAGAATTTCTTTCCAAATGAATTTACCAAGTTTTATCGAAACCAAAGGATCTCTCGAAAGAGTGAACAAAGTTTTAGACGGCATACAATCAGGTATCCCAGTTTTACTCGAAGGTGAAACAGGAACCTCAAAAACCAAAACCGCAACAATCGCATCAATCAAAAATAACCAGAAACCGATTATTTTAAACTTTAGTTCGCAAACAACGATTGAAGATCTTCTTGGAAGGATCACCCGCAACGAAAATTCATGGAGTGGCTTTTCATTTAAAAATGGCCCATATACAGATGCTTATGTCAATGGGCACTGTCTTATTTTAGATGAAATTAACTTAGCGCATGAAACAGTTTTACAGTGCATTGAAGCTTCTTTAGATAGCGGATCATTATCATTTGAGGTATCAGGTAGTGAAACCAAAGTTCTTCGAATGCATAAAGATTTTCATATCATTGCTACCCAAAATCCTTTAACCGGCCGCTTTTCACAAAAGCGACAATATCTTTCACATAAATTTCGATCGAGATTTCAGACAATTCTTTTCCCTGATATTGAAAAAGAAGAACTTTTTGAAATAGCCATGGGACTTGCCCAAGGACTAAAAAATCACGATCCAGACCTCATTTCGAAAATTATAGATTTTCATTTTCTTTGGAAAGAAAAAGAATCAAAAACAAATCAAATTCACGTCTTCACAATTCGTGAAATAAACGGAACTATTAAATCTATGATGGAAGGGCTTTCTCCATTTGAGTCAATTTTAATTCATTATGGATCACGTTATGATAAAGATAAACTTGAAGAAATGAAAAAAGATTTAATTTCTCTAAACATTCAAAAAGTGGACTCATCTTCTGAAGAAGAAGAATTTCAATCAAAACTTTTTTTACCAGATTATGACCATAGCTTATTTTATTCTACAAAATCAATTCAGCGTGCTCTGTTAAATTCATATCATCTTTTAAATACCTATCATCCAGTTTTATTTGTTGGTGATGATGGATGTGGTAAAACATCAATTGCACGCTGGCTTGCACAAATTTATTCCAATAAACACAAACTATTTATTTGTAATCCAGAAATGTCAATTTCCGATATTATTGGCCGATACATGCCAGTTAAAGGTGCAACAGGGGAATCACCAATTTTGTGGATAAATGGACCAGTTGTTCAATCTCTTGAAAATGGTGATTGTTTAATTATGGATCAAATTGATACAGCACCTTCTACAATTTTAGAAAGATTAAATGCTTTATATGATGGGATTGGTTCAGAAGACTTCAAATTCTTAGTTCAAGAAAATTCAGAAGACGCCGAAATTTTAGTGCATTCTGATTTTCGAATAATTGCGACTGCTTCATATAAAGGTTTGAATGATTTATCACCTGCATTTCTGAATAGATTTACGATTATTTATATTGATGATCAATTTCCTGAATTGAGTTCTTCGAAAGACGAAATGAAAGGATTTATTAATCATTTTTCTCCTTCATTTTGTAATAATGATGATATACAATTATTATTGAAGAAAATATACCAACAGAAAATGAATATGCCAGTGAATCGTATTTCTACAATTGTTCGTGGCTTTTTTGAATTAAAAAATAAATTTCCGTCAGCTTTATCTCAGAATATAGCAGATTTTTGTTTTGATGTAACGACAGGTTCTGTTTATTCACCAAATCTCAATGAGAATTTCATTGATATTCTTTTAAATTCTTTAGATGTGAATAAACAAAATGATTTAACTCATGATTTTTACCATTTTAAAGAAGCTTCAACAACAAGGCGAATAATTGCAACATTAATTGCTTGTTCAGTAATTGGAAAACATGTTGTAATGGTAGGAAAAACAGGACTCGGAAAAACCGCTGCAGCGATTGCATTTTCTAAAATGAATCAATTTTCAGAAGGTTTTAAAATGATTTCATTCAATGGTGAAATCCAACTTGAAGAATTATTTGGATTCTTTACCATTGAAAAAGGTGATTTCACTCAACATGATGGCCCACTTTCAACTTCGATGTTAAATGGTCATATTTTTATTGCAGATGAATTAAATTTAGCTGAACAACAAATCGTTCAATCATTAAATGTTGCTCTTGAACCAACAAGAGATGATACTATTATTTTACCGGTGATTGGATCTTCTATTCAAGTAAATAAAGGGTTTCTTTTCATTGGCTGCCAAAATGATTTAACTATGCATGGAAGAAGACCTTTACCAGAATCTTTCAAAAAGAAAGTGTTATTATTGGAATATCCAGAAAATTCACATCAGGATTTACTTTTGTTAACAAATTCTCTAGCAAAACAATTTGCTTTACCTGTAAATGTATATCAAGGTATAACTAATATGATTGAAAAAATGAAAGACTTCCCATCATTTAAAACAAAACAATGGTCACTTCGAGAAGTCAGAAAACTATTTCGACGAGTTAGTTATTTTTCAAATCAAACTCGTTATGTTAAAAATTTGACAATTCATCATTTAGCAGCATTTTTATTGATCTCTCCTTTTCCAAATAAATATGAAGTAGCTAAAGATGCCATTTCTTTAATAACTGAATCATTTCATTTATCAAATTATAAAGAGTTATTAAAGTGGATTAATTCACCTGTTGATGTCAAATTTACAAATAATACTGTTATTTTAACCAAAGGAAATATTGAAATTACTTTAATTAATTCTGAAATACAGAAAATTCCAGCACAACTTCAAACATTTTGGCAATCTTTGTTTGAAACTTGTATTACTCATCCAAGTGAACCATTACTTTTTGTTGGACCTTCAGGATTCAAAACTTTTCTATCGCATTCAATTTCGCCACTTTCACCTATTGTTCATCTTCATAGTGATTCAACAATTCCATCATTAATTGGTCAAATTTCCCTTCTTGATAAATATCAAGCAACTATGTTTTTATTTGATGCTTTACATGATTTCACAGGAATTAATCAAACAATCGAAGATTTATTTATTAATGCAAGAGAAAAAATCGAAAATAATGATCTTGATAATCAGACAATTGATGAATTAATTAAAAAACTAAAAGAAATTGCACCACAAGCATATTCACCCATTATTGAACATATTTCTCAACAAATAAAAGATATGAATAATAATTTTCAAAACACATCATCAATGTTTTCAAATTATAGAAGCTTATTTAAACCAGGTTTAATCACAAAAGCAATATTACAACAAAAATCATTAATTTTAAAAAATATAGCACAACCGTCTCCTTCAGTTCTCGAACGTTTTAATGAACTTTTATCAGTTACACCGACATTAACCTTGTTTGAAGATACTTCGAATACTTTAACAACTGAAACCACTAAGATTTTATCAAATTTTTCGCAACATTTCAGGATCATTGGAATTTGCTTACCAGATGAAAAAAGGGGATTATCTGAAGCAATGCTTTCTAGATTGACTGAAATTTATCTACCTTGTTATCCAGCTGATGAACAAAAATATGTATTTCAATCTATATTCAAATCAAACTTTTCTTATGACCACCGTTCTTCAACTTTTTATGAAATGTTGATTGACACTTTAAACAAAATTAATAATGACAAAAATTTTCCTTTTTCAATTCCATTCACACGTGTTGTCGAAATAATTAAAATTGCATGCCAATGGTCAATGAAATATGAGAATATTCAAGATGATATCATTTTTTCTTTAGCTTTGTTTAGATGTGCTGGTGGACCTTTACAATTATCATTTAGAAAGAAACTAGCCGAACTTTTAAGCAATACGCTTCCAATTTATCTCGTTCAAATATTTTTATACAATAATAATACCGATAAAGAAGAAATTGAAGACATTTTTGATCAACAATCAACATCTTTGATTTCAAGTGAAGAATTGGCTAATGGTAACTTTTTAATTAATAACTCAATGACCAATTTTCAGATCGAATCTTTATTTCCTCCAATTCAAACAAGGCTTTGTTTGTTTACACCAACTTTTAATGATTTAGTGGATTTGATTTTTTCAGCAGCAACGATTAATTATCCTTTAATTATTGAAGGACCATGCGGATGTGGAAAAAGTACAGCATTTTTCTATGTTGCTGAAATGTTGAACGCAAATATTGTTCATATTTCTATATCTTCAAGTACAACAGTTGAAGATTTATTTGGAAAATATGAACCAAATACAGATTCAGATGAAATGCAATTTGATTTTATACCAACTAACTTTTTAAATGCAATTCGTGCTGATAAAACTGATGAAATAACTGGTCGAAATAATTGGATCCTTATTGAAGAACTTCATTTGGCATCAGCTTCGGTTCTTGATGCATTGGGACCAGTTTTCAATCCAGATAATAATAAAATATTGTTGCCAAATGGTACAATTGTGAGTAAAGGTGAATATTTTGTTGTCGGTATTATGTCTGAACCAATTCAACGACAATCAATCACAAATACAGCATTGTATTATAAAGCACATGATTATTCAGAGAAAGAATTCACTGCTGTTTGTAGATATATCTTGAGTTGTACCGATTTGAAAGAGTATCCAGATTTTAAAGCAATATGTGATTCATTT